TCTGGAGCAGTGAGATGGAATTGATCACTTGCAAGATCACAGAGAATGAACCAGAGTAGCTGAAGGTAGACCAACTCAAAACACGCCATGGGGGGGAGGGGCACATTTTAGCGGTAGCCTGGGTGATGACTGTGGACACCCCCGCCATTGTTGGGCTCCTGAACTTGGCCCATGGCTGATCTGTGCATCTTCTGCATCACATCCATGTTCTGCTCCTGAAAGTTGGGGATCTGGAAGTCCCCTCCTAAGAAATCCACATTCTGCATCAGCTTGGACCCACCTGGAGGACCCTCTTTTCCGGGCCGGTACTTGGCCCCTGGGATGCGGTCTGTGGAGGCAGTGGCAGCAGCAGCTTGCCCTCCGTGGAAAGCCACTGGGAGGTCCTGAGAGCCGTTTCCATTGTTCCCTGCTGAGGCCGGGATGTTGCCCCACGATGGTTGCATGTAGTGACCGTTAATGTAAGGCATAGTCCCCGCCGGGCAGTTCACAGGCGAGGGGGGGCGGGGCTTCTCTGCGGGGTGTTTCAGGGTAAAGGAGTGTGCTGAGCTGGGCAGCTTGTGGGGATAGTTGAGATTTCCAGAAGGGAAGGAGCGCTCCGCTGGAAGCTCCATTCTCGGGTTCTTGCATGGATGGGCCCCCTCGGGGGGCTGCTGCATGTGGGCCAGTTGGTGCTGGGCCCAGGAGCGCTGTTGCTGCTGCTGATGCTGATGCTGCAGCTGCTGTAGTTGGTGTAAATGTTGGTGCTGCTGAAGCTGCTGCTGTTGTTTCTGCTGATGTAGGTGGTGCTGAAGCTGCTGCTGCTGCTGCAGGTGGACCTTCTCTGGGTCAGTGTGAAAGGCAGGTAGACTGTTAGGAGCAGCTATAGTGGGCTGAGAATGGAGAGCAGCGGTTGAAGTCTGAGCTGTAGCTTTGTCTGGTGGTCCCACCACAAGGCACCGGGGCACCGAGCCCAGCGCCGGGTGGTGAGAGGACACCCTGGAGCTGGCATTGATCAGCAGGTTGCGGCTGATGGGGCTGGGATTAGCGATCTGGCCCTCACAGACCGAGGTGGTGCCCATGCCAGCCCGAGCCTGGCACATCTGGTTGATTTGGTGCACAATGCTGCTCAGGTCACCAGGCCTGTTCTGGTGCAGGCTGGCTGCCATGGACAGTGGGATGGTGGAGGTAGATACAGTAACATTTGGTGGGGCGTCTGCGTCAGGCAGCTTCCTGGGTCCATATGCCCCCGCCGCCGGGTGCTGCTGGAGGCCATTAGGCATTGTAGGAGGTCCTGCACCCACAGCCTGGGGAAGTGGCTGTGAGCTCACCAGACCCTGGCTTTGCTGAAGGCTGGACAGCTGAGCTCCATCAGACAGGTGGAGCAGGTCCTGAGTCACTCCTTGCTGTGAAAGTAAAGCTTGCTGAGGGGCCGCCTGATGCTTGAGGGTCTGCAGATGAGGAAGATGCTGCTGCTGCTGCTGCTGCTGCGGCACCACTTGGGGACAGGTCTGGCTCTGCTGCTGCTGTAGAGCCTGGGTGTGAGGCAGACTCTGCTGCCTCTGTATGCCTTGTGGAGGGAGGGCCAATCTCTGCTGCTGTGGAGCCGGCCCCTGTGACAGGCTCTGCTGCCGCTGTAGAGCCTGTGAGTGAGCCATGGTCCTTTGCTGTAGAGCCTGCGGGTGAGGCAGTGCTTGAGACTGCTGTAGAGTCATGGGGTGAGACAAGCTTTGCTGTTGCTGAAGCACCTGTGGGTGCACCACGCCCTGCTTCTGGGCAGCCTGGACTCCCGGGTTAGACGGGCCCGGGAGGTGAGGAGGAGGTTGAGGAAGGTTTAAAGTGCTTTGAGGGGCGTACGGCCCACTGTGAGGGTTCATGACGGCTTTATGAAGCTGTCTGGCGCGGCTACCGTCTGAATCTTTGATGACACCTTTGGCTGGTGCACGGAGGACAGCCAGAAGGCCCCTGCTGGAGCTGACCTGAGAGGGGTAGGGACTGTGACGCTGACTGGACGACGAAGTGTCAAGTCCGTTTACTGTGCGGCGAATGTGCTTCCTTTGAGGTACTTTGACACTGTTGGGGAAGATCTGGATGGTCAGAGGGTTGTTGGCGACTTTCTTAGCATAGGCATCCAACTCTGCTGGGGTTGGATAGCTGGCAGATCTCATCTTCTGTGTAGTTTCCCCTGCAACGGACAAACACGATAGTCAAATGTAGGTTTTGGTGCAGCTCTGGAACTTATCTGGTGGAAAATATCAAATGAACAATGAAACCGAGCGCTTACATTTCTGAAGTCCAGTGTTCATCTGCGAGCGGGAGAGAAGTCTGACGGTAGGGTCACCTGATGCCGGCAGACAGGCCAGCATGTCACTATTCCGCTAATGCAGCATGAGACACCTTCCCCTCACCATACTGGAGAGAAACAGAGCGGGGGTAAGTCAGACATTCACAGACACTTACAGAGAGGTGGGACATGACTTTGTTCTGACCTATTTTCACATCCAGCACAGTTTGACCTTTGGCTAATAGCAGGTCCTAATAAATAGAGATCCTGACTCGTACAGAGTGTCTGTGCTCACCCTGCAGAACAGACCAAAACTCTGAGTAACTGACTAACTGGGACAGCTCACAGGTGAGGGTCTGACTGCAGGTTCAACCATGAACAAACGCGGGTACACAGTGGAATCACGAAATCTGGATCCACGTGGGTCCTAATATGTAAAGACACTCCACTTCAGAGACGCTAGTCTTTGACACGTCCAGGAGACGTTTCTATTGGCTAATGAAACACGTCGTGGTCAAACACTGGAAATGCTCCTCTACAATCAGTCAACTTGAGGTGTTTCAGCAGCAGCCAGAGGAGCCTGTGATGAATCATCTGCTCACTCTCAATGACGAATCTGTGAAATTAGACATGAGTGAACCCAAAGACTTGATCCCTGCTCAGACTTTCAGTGCGTTCACAGAGAAAGGTCATCGTTTTCATATTGATAGATACTTCTTCGCGTGTTGTTAGCTTATATCAGATGTATCATCACACAAAGATACTGAGTTGACAGCAGCTGTCATAAAGCCGTACCCGGAGCTTTAGAGTCAGACTAATGGAAAAAGAAAAGTAGAATTGTCTGAGAGAAACCGCAGCTCCTGTTTCTCCTCCTTAACGAGGAATCAGAGAACGATCTTCTTCTTCTTCTTCTCCTCATGATTCATCACTTCAACGCCCCAAATTTCCAAATACTAACTGACTCAGTATGTTCAGAGTTCGAATAAAGCATTAAGATTCAACATTTGAAATACAGATCATATACTTTGAATGAAAACAGAACAAAGTGAAGTCAATGAGAGAACCTCTGGTCTCTATCTAAATCCCATGTGGACAAAGACCTGATCTGAAAGTACGGCTGTTTTCTGACTGAATCTCTAACCCCGCTCTGGTGTAGTTCTCAAACATTGCTCGTTTCTGTGAGGTGCTGTCAGTCTCGGGTCAGTCCTGTCCCCTCACAGCACTTTTGGACACTGAAACTTCATTTCAGAGACATCTGATTTAATTTCTACATGTTTCTAAAGCAGCTCAAAACTCCTGAATGAGTATTTCTGAAAGCAGCTTCTCCTCTACTTTGACTCTGGTTATAATTGAACTGTATCAGAGCAACATCTGAATATGAATATCTGCACTTTAGTCATGAGTTAGGCCTCCTCTGAATGTGAAGGACACAGTTGATAAGCACTATAAATGTAGGACTCCTGAATGTTCCTGCTGACTTTCATGATCTCCTGTCCTCCTCGGACCCTGGTCTACAGTCTCATCCTCTGGGTTCCTCAGAATGACGCAGTGGACCGGGTCTAAGAGGATCCTGATGAATCAGGCAGGAGAACAGGATCTCTTTTTTTTACAGATTCAGGTCCCTCTGAACGGGTGAAGCTGTGAGATCGTCTCCAGTTAACACCTAAAATCATCTTTAGAGGCTATAAATGATCTTTTGCAAGTTATAGATAATATTTACCAGGTTATAAATTATCTTTATCATGTTATAAATGATCTTTCGCAGGTTATAGATGATCTTTAGAGGTTATAAATGATCTTTATCAGGTTGTAGATGATGTTCAGCAGGTTATAAATGATGTTTAGCAGGATCTAAATAATCTTTATCAGGTTTTAAAGCCGTAGACCTGATCCTAGTCTTCAGACTGTCTCGGTAACGTTAGCCATCTGTCTGGAAATCCACCCTCTTAGTCCAGGACTCAGGACTAATCTGAGACTCACAGCTGGACTAATCGGAGCTGTGAACAAAGATGACTCCGTGGTTTAGATCTCCACCTTTAAGGAGACGAAAATCACTGAACTCTGATGGTTTAAAGGAAATCTGGAGTCCAGATCCTCGACAATAAATAAGAGCTTCTTTGTGCTGTCTGTGACCGGGCCAGCTGCTCTCCAAACTTTAGCTTTTCTCTCACCAAACCACCTTCTGACCGAGGCTGAACAAAGGCATACTTACTCCTCAGGAATCTACGAGTAAGGAAACTTCATTTTGTTGAGATAGTGCGTAGATTTGTGTTATAAATCTAAAGAGATCATCCCCTCTGCGCTGCTCCTCCGGCTACGGCAGCAACGGTTAATGAGCATGCGCAGAGCACAAGGACCCTGATTCTGCATTTAGGTACTCACGGCCAACGCCTGATCGAGGATGGGACTGTCTACCTACAGACATGATACACGTATATTATGTCTGTGTGTGTGTTTATTTATCTCGTATATGATTCATTGAACACACTCTAATTCAATCATTGTGTTTTTCCAAATATGATACAGAAATATAATGAAGATCAAATTAAAAAATAATAATTTTAGACCAAGTGAGCAGCCAGAGAGTATGGAAGCCTAAAGAGGACATGCATTTATACATTTAATTTGATTCAAAATATCTAGTTAATGATTTTATTTGGGGATTTGTTTTTCTTCACTTAAAGCTCCACTGAGGAACTGTTGTTGTTTTGGCGCCCCAAGTGGCCAAATTGTTACTTCTTCCCATAGACTGTATTTACCATCTACAAATGTTATTGAATGTCACAGATGTTCCCGGACTGTTCCAGTATGTGTCCAAAAGTCCAAAATGTTCTCAAACGTTCCGGAATGTTATTGATCTTTTAGAACGTCTTTGATCTTCCGGAATGTTCGGTGATATTCTAGAATATTCTACATCCTCCAGAGCGTCACCACCATAGACTGTATATAATACGGACATCTTGGTTCCAGTATAAGGGTATTGAAGCCAAAAAGTTCTCAGTATTTCCACGATTTTTCTCCACTTCCTGAAACCAACATCGCGCAGTGGCGTTGTGCGCATTTGGCAGGAGAGTTGCTGTGAGTCGCTGTGATGACGCTCGGCTCTAACAGCGTTTCCTCCCAGGTAAGCAGCTCAATCTCTGTCCTCCCATTGGCTGTATCAGGTGTCAATCATAGCAAACATGAACCCCTAATAACTTTTAAAAATGGAGCTGTACAGAAAAAAGAGGACTTGAGCACAAACCAGTCTGACAGTAACTACATGTCAACATCACAACTAGGGGGGAGAAACATTTATATTCTGTGTCATTCATTTATAAAGTTTGTCCACAGCTCCATAAGGAGGCGGGGTTTAGGACCTATACTGCAGCCCACCACCAGAGGGCGCTGTTCTCAGAGAGAGGAGGCAGACGGCGTCTGTTCTAGATACAGTTTATGGTTCTTCCACTTTCTATAATCACATCTCTGTCACCTTTGTTATGGTTAGGGTTAGGATCAGAGTTAACCGTAGAGTAAACCACCAAACCTTAACCATGACTGATGCCGTGAGCCCGCTTATTCATTCATTCATTCATTCATTTTTGCATGTATGTTCTTGTTTGTTTTATCTTTTTCTTTGCTTGTTTGATTTGTATTTATGTCTCCATGTACAGCACTTTGGCTACCCCCTGGTTCTTTTTAAATGTGCTATAGAAATAAAGTTGATTGATTGATTGATTGATTGTGTTACATTAGACTCTAAAACTGTTCGGTTTGACTCCAAATCAGTCGATGCCAAAATGGTTCATAAACAAACATTCGACATTAGCAAAGGTTGTGCATGGTGTTACAGTGAGAAACTAAATTGGTTGTTGATTAGACTTTCAAAATGTTGGTGTAGCGGTTCGAACACCTCATGTTCAGAGTCAGGACTGAATCGTGATCCCGACATGATTTGGGGCGTCATTCTCCCTCTCTCTCTGCATTTGAATTTATTAAAGGAGGGACCCTTGAGATATAGCATCTCATTTTCAAGAAGGTCCCCAAACAAACATACACAAAACTCAGGACACATTACAATACATTAACATACATAACATACAACAAATACAGACACCTTACTCTCACACACAACCCCAACCAACATACGCCTAACATAAAAAATCTTATGAACAAGGATAAATAATGTGAACATAAATGCAGAAAAGAGATGAGAGTACAGTGCCATTCTGAAGGGATAAAAGAAGTAATAGAACACAAAGAAAGAGGTCGTTTATTCTGATCTGATGAGGCTTTATACTGAAACGATCTTTTACCAACTTCTTTAAAGATTCTAGGAACAAAGAAAAATGGGTATTTCATCTGTCTAAGAGAGTACGGGGAGTTATATGGGATCAAGAGTTCTTTTAAATATGAAGGTCAATGGAGATAAACAAATTTTTTCGTTCATTTACATATAAAATACATGCAGCTCAAACAGACAGAGGAGAGATTCTGGATTATATCCTACATAATCTAATCAGGTTATCTAATCAGTAAAACGGTTTATTCATGAATCTAAACTCTGTTAATGTACTTCGTGTGTGTGTGTGTGTGTGTGTGCGTGTGTGTGTGTTTAAAGAGCTTCAGTCTGATCAGGAAACAATCCTCTTTACAACATAAACTAGTTTATAATTTACACACAGACACCAGCTGAGCAAAGAGACAGTCAAACATGTCGAGGCACCAAAAAGGAGGAAGTGACAGGAGTAAATATTTCCAGTAATCTGATGTTATTTAATAACCAACACCTGCTTACCTGCTGCTGACCTGAGACTCGAATACAGAGCCGTCCAAGTCGCCTCATTTCCTTGACTGTCATCGTCCTGATTTGCATTATTTCCCCTGAACTTCAGAGTCAGGTGGAAACGCAGACAAACAACCGCAGGAACCATGTGGTTCCTTGAAGAGACTCAAAGTTCCTGGTGCTCGTCACCTCACCTCTTCACAGTTTAAGAAAAATCTCATCGGTCATGGCCTTATTGGCTTTTCCAGGTTAGAAAGATATTAAGATTCATATCAGTAAAATGACAAAAATATGGTTTGATACTAAATATACCTGATTGGATAGAAGTAATGTTAATTCTGAATATTAAAACACATATTTTTATCATAATATGCAAATAATATAATTATGTATAATATGGAGGTATTTATACAGATCTTTGTAATTTATACAAGTAGATTTATTTTTCATCTCTAATTTGTGAGGAAGGAGCAGGACTACATCAGCTATTTGCTTTATTCTGTTCCTTCTAGTGTTTCTAGTTTTTTTTTTGTTGTTCTTAAAGTTTGAGATAAATAAAGAAGAAAAAAAGAAAAAAAAAGAAAGAAGCATCAGTGTCTCGTTCAGTTCAGTCAAAAACTCCTCACATGAGCGTTAATGTCAGAACACAGAGGGTTTCTTTCAGGTCGTCATAAATCATCCTGCTCTCACCTGAAAACAATGAAAACTATATTTAGACGTTGGCTCAAAGCTCCTGTATTTGACTCCGATCCTGGTCTGTTTTCTGGGTGATGAATAAGGAGTCTGTGAAAATGATGGTATTTCGATTTATTCGAATGACAATTAGCTAAGAGTGAACTGATTATTCGTGTACAGACGGATGACATGCAGCAAGAGCATACAGGAACTCATGGCTGTTTGAGACACCACAGTGTACATGTTGTTAATAACATTAGGAATATAACAAATATGTCCTATTTACATCCCACACAGTTAAAGCCAAACAAATCAACAGTGGTCACAGTAAGTTTTCAAGTCACTGAATCAGCAAAGAATGATACAAACATAAACGAATGAAGGATGAGCACAATTATCGAAATCTTAAGTTAACAACATAAACAGTCATCTGTAAATCTGAGTGCTAAACCAGCTTCATACCACCTCCCCAGATAAGAACTTCTCTGTTATTTCACCTGCTCATCTGTCCACCCTCCACCCGTCCCTACCTCTGACGGAACAGTCTCATTCGTACCGCTGCACCAAAACTTCACGTCCGGTCTACATGAAGGTGAAACAAAGAAGCTTGTGACCATTTACTAACAGTTTTATCACGGCTTTAAAACAGATCAACATTTTTGGGATAAGCTAACAAACAGCGATTAAATAACCTTCAGTATCCGATGTCACAGTTAAGAAAAACAAATCAGCAAAAACATGTACAAACATTGAACAGTAGTTTTCTCTGAAAAGTGTAAAAGTCTGATTTGTTGACACGACCTGTCAAACATGGCTTAGCATCTAAAGAGATCTGTGGTATGAAATCAAACATCAGAGAAACTATGCAGTAAAACCGTCTGATACCATAAAACCATAAAAAGATTATCTACTCTATTTGGCATCACTGTTTGGCCTTTCTCTCTTCTGAGTCTACTCAACCTTTCCTCTTAACTGGATTATCTGTTTTATGAACCATTTCCAACCTTAATGAAGGCCAAGACTATCTGCACTCTACACTAAAGTCACACTTAATATTAAAGGACCAAACTACAGGCTCGTATACCAGCACAAGATCGGACTTTGCTTCTTGTTTTCCTGCCAGTGTAGCTTCATTTTCACATGGATCATGCCTGCAGTCCACAGACTAACTCTGAACAATGAAAGGGCTTCTGTGAAAAGACGGTCAGCACCTGGAACATTGTACAAATCAATCACTGAGACATAAAATCAACCTGAATAAGAACAACGAGAGTTAAAAAGAACATTTACAGAACAAAAAGATTCAGGTTAAAGAGGGAATGCAGATGTGTCATTAAATAAAGACAGAGGTATATCAATCAACAGAAAGGCCCCCATGGACTAATCCCAAAGATTACGGACTGACTTCAGCGGTCAGGTCACCACCTGGATCAAACTAGTCCTACTCAAGGACCTGTCGTACAAACGGGCCGCTAAAAATGATTTAAATACAAATTATAGTTTCAAAAATGACAAAACAACACAAAGTACACTCACCATCAAACTTAAAAAAATCTGAATGAGCAGCAGTGCATGCAGATATTCTGGTCCTGTATAAAGTAAGGCACCAGAGGTTTCCAAAATTCACTTGGTATACAGTATAATATATACGTAAAAAACAACCAAAGTCTTCAAGTGTAATAAAGGCAGTCTATCAGAGTGCATACAACAGATACTGGAGTCACGTGGAGCCGCCGCCTCTCAGGCTTTAGGACTGGTCATTTTCTGCAGCAGTGGGATCTGTTAAGAGAAGACAGTTGATTTAATGTACGTCTGTTTGGATAAAACCTCGGATTAATGACATTATAACATCAGATTCAGCTTTAAATCTGAACTCTAAAACTCTGACAACGGCACAGACTCAGAGCCTCCATCAACGTTTTCCATCCTGAAGGTTTCAGAAAGACTGAATTTCAACATTTTATTTAACACTGACACTGTGAACAGAACCGATAAAGACCGCTGCTGTACAGTCAGTGAGAGGACCTGAGAAAGACTTCAGTGGATCCATCAGTGTCCATAGTTTACAGCAGGGGTGTCAAAGTCAAATGGACGGAGGGCCAAATAAAAAATTTTGCTACAAGCCGAGGGCCGGACTGATCGAATGTTCATTGAAAATTTTTTAAATGACGCATATAGTCAAGTGAACCTAATTGAACCTACTGAAAACCTAACAAATATATTCCAATATGATCAGATAAATAAAGCTATATTTTCTTATGGCTCTGTCAGTAATCTTTAATTTTCAACAGACACAAAAGACAAATTTCCTTTATATAAAAATCCCCATAACATGAACATTAAATGAAAGAAACCGGTATTATTCAAGGCACCATCAGTGGCCTATATTTTCTATTTTAGCAAAAGTGGGCTAAATTTACTTCAAAGAAAAAAATAATAATAGCAATTTTCTATCATCCACTCAACTGAAATATTTTTAAAATATAATTGGATTGAAATACAATAAAATAAAGTGCAAAAATCTATTAATCAAAAACAACACTTTCTTCAAGGAGAAGTAACATGCATTTTTGATGGGTATCTGAAAGTTAATTTTACTGTTATGCTGACGACTGCTGTGCTAATAAGCCTACTGCTCGGTGCGTCACCGTTGCATTGTGGGAAATGTAGTATTGGTGCGTGTAAAAGATCTGCGGGCTGCCGGCTTGCTGCGGTCTGCGGGCCGGTTCTAATAATAAATCAAGATCATCCCAGGGGCCATAAAAAACCTTCTCGCGGGCCGGATTTGGCCCGCGGGCCTTGACTCTGACATATGTGGTTTACAGTATAATGATGTCAACATGACAGACGTGTATCTGATCGACATTATCAGACATACACACACACACACACACACACACACACACACACACACACACACACACACACACACGCACACACGCACACACACACGCACATTTCATTGAAACACAAAAATAAATATGCTTTACATTCACATCAAACTTCTCCTTGTTTTTGTTCAGGACTCGGCTCCTGAGGTTGGACCACAAACTTCCTCCTCAGAGGAGTCATGTGATGTTGTCTGTCAGCTGATTTGATGTCACAACAACATCACATGACTCCTCTGATTGTAAGAAGTGTGTTTGGGGAGGATGTCCCAGTGAAAATGAAAGACACGCCCTGATCACCTTTTTGGACTAAAATGATGTTTTCGTGTCAGAATCTGCCGCTCAGCTGAAGGTCGTCAAACATGTGAACATGTGAGTGTTTGTGGGTCTAAAAGGACACGCAGGACTGTGATCCTCAGGGTCACGTGTTAAAATCACTAAAGTTTAGATGCTGTATTATCATAAATTAAATTAACACTGTTGGACATGTGAGGTCTTTTAGTGTCTTTGTTAACAGCTGATCCCAAACACACACACACACACACACACACACACACACACACACACACACACACACACACACATACACACACACGTTCCTACCTTTGTCAGGTCCACTCCAGTCAGGGCGTTGACCGACACCGGGAGTTCAGCCAGCAGGCGGTTGACCTCGCCCGTCACACGGCTGCCCTCTCCGCTCAGGATGACGATCTCGTTGGTCCTGGCTAACGGCGCCGCCACTTTAGCAGCGATCTGTGAAAAACAAACAGTTTAATAGTCAGCTGTAGACAGGAAGTCATAAACACCTGAATCAGTGATCATGTGACCATGAGTCATAGTCCGATGACCTCTGAATCCCTCGCCAACACGTTTATGACGACCCTGATGACATCCTACTGCTGTTTCAGGGCGGGGTTTGGAGGTCAAGAGTCCAGGTGGTGAGAGGAGCGTCAGTGGAGAACTTTTGAGGAACCTCTCTGTGGTTTTTACCTTAGGGAGGGCCTCCAGGACCAGGGCCGTCTTGGCTGCGTCTCCGTACTGCTGGTAGGCCTCAGCCTTCATCCTCATCTTCTCAGCCTCGGCCTTTCCCACAGCTTCGATGGAGGTCGCCTCAGCCTCGCCGATCTTCCTGATCTTCTCTGCCTCAGCCTGGGCGATCAGGACCCTCTTCATCCTGACAAAGACACAAGGTTCAAAATAAGATGATCCTCAACACGGTCTCCTTCAGAGACTCTGATAGACCTGAACAGTTCTTTTAGGGATCTAAAATCACCCACTGGAGAATCTAGGTGTTGTTTTTCTACGCCCAGATTCTCCTCCTCCACCTGCTCAGTAACAAAGACACGTGAGTTTGTTTTTGACGTCATCCTCAGCTGCCCTGACCTGAAGAGCAGTGAGGAATCCCTCTGTGGACCTGTGGTCTACACTAACTGGTGGAACTGGTTGAGGAGGGTCATCAGACTGGTTGTCTGTCTCCTCAAACCTCGGGGTTCTCACTTACTTCTGCCCCTCAGCCAGCTGCTGCATCTTGTAGGCCTCGGCCTCAGCAGGCCTCTTCACGGTGGCGATCAGCTCCTTGTCCGTGCGTTGGATCTCCCGCTCCTCGATGGTGATCTCCTTCTTCCTCTGAACCACTTGGATCTCGATCTCCTCCAGGCGGATCTTCTGCTGCTCCTTGGCTGCCTGCAGCTCGTAGGCCAGCTGGGCCTCTGCTTTCTGAAGACGGCAGGACACACACACACACACACACACACACACACACACACACACACACACACACACACACACACACACACACACACACACACACACACACACACACACACACACACACACACACACACACACACACACTTTGTTTGAAATCTAGTAACACGAGAGCCCGACCCTGTCCTTTCTCCTCCAGCAGCTTTAAGTCTGTATATTTTCTGAATCTTCGTTCGATTTTCTCTCAGCTGCTCTGAACTTCTTCTTTCTTCACTCTGACTGAGTGAAGAACTCGAACCCGTACACGTCTTCAGACGCTCTAGAGGAGATTTCAGCTCTGAGCTCTCTCTGGTCTCTTGAAAAAAACCACATCTCTACCAGTGTTGTTTTCGTCAGGCAGGACGAAAACTTAAATGACGACGTCAGACCCCTTTTTTCCTTGACGAAAATGAGACTAAGACGAACGTCACCAAAGCTCTGTAAAGACTAAAATGTGACGAAAATTATATTCATTTTCGTCAGACGAGAACGAGACGAGACTAAATTGTTATTAGGTGGACGAACAAAGTTTCAAAACATGCTTTTTTTTTTGTCCTAACAGTCACGCCCCCATCACACACGCACCAAAAGCCTCGCTCGCGCACAGCTGCGCGCACACACTCATACACATACACAGAGCGGCATGTGGACGAGGCGCGCACACACACACACACACACCGTGGCGGCAGGCACAGCAGCGGTGCCCGGTGGCCGAAAAAAGAGGGATGATTTTTGGTCCTACTTCAGATACAGTCCAAGTGACAATAAAATAAAAGTGACAATAAAACACGGGACGGGGAGACGAGACAGACGACAGTTGTGGAGCCACAGCTTCCTCATGCTTCAAACTGTCGGGAAAGAACACCACGAACCTCAAAAGGCACCTTTACGTCGACTAAAACTAGACGAAAACCTTTTGAGTTTTCCTCGGACTAAAACTAGACGAAAACTATCAAGGATAGAAATGACTAAAATGGGACTAAAACGAAGAAGCATTTTGTCAAAATGACTAAGACTAAAACTAAATCTAAAATGCCTGCCAAAAACAACACTGTTCTCTACAGAAATGACGAATACGTTTAAACGGCGTTTGATGAATTCATCATGACTGACTGACCTCTGTGTGACGAACGCCCCTGACCATGAGTCACACACTCAAACCGTGTTCCTACCTTGGTGTTGACCTCTTGGTTGAACGACGCTTTCTGCAGCTCCAGCTCTCGTTTGGAGTCGGCCATCTTGGTGTCAGCCAGGAATTTGACGTCCATCATCTCCTTCTTACATTCGGCCTCCTGAGTGACGGCGAAGAGGAGAAGCAGAGTTCAGCTCGCTGCTGCTGAGTCAGACAAAAACTCCTCCACGTGTTAAGGCCTCCTTACCCGTATCCCAGCATCCCTCTCTGCCTCAGCCACGCCGATGTCAGCATCCCTCTGGACCGCTGCAGTCTGGGTCTTTCCCAGCGAGCTCAGGTAATCCAGTTTGTCGTACACATCCTGCAAACACAGAGCAGCGGGTTAACCTCGATGGAGCATGAAGGGAGGCTCCAGGAGATGACCACAGCAAACATGAACATGTTCTCCAAACACCAGTATTCCCAGTATGAGTGCAGCTGTAAATAAACCAGTTCTGCAGGTTTAGAGTTAAAGCTTTTCCACTTTCTGAACCTGAGTAGAAAAAGGAGCTCGTACTGTGAACTGTAAACGCCGCTCTCTCTCTCTCTTTACTGTCAGAGCCGATGACACAAACAGAGGAAAAGAGGTTTACACTGAAGTCACACAGACCACATCAGCCTGGACTAATTGATCTGGTAGTAATGGACTTGAGGTTTCCAGAGAAACACTCTGATCAGCTGCTCCGTTTTCACCACATTTCACTTCGTTGTAACTACAAAGAGTTAAAAACAGGAGCTGAGATCTTCGACTGATAACTCCAAAACTGAGGAGAGACGAGCAGCAGCTCCAGCAGCACAGAGAAACTAAACCACTGTGTGTGTTTGTTAGAGCTGTACAGACTGCTGCTCAGTGAGTAAACACCCACATCATTCTCCTCATGCTGATCTCCTGATAGCAGATCATATATCATCATCAGCCATGAAGCGGAAGCAGCAGAGTGCTCCCTCTCACAGAGTCGGACTTCAGAGCTGAATCAGAGGAAACACAAATACAGAGATCATCTGACAGCTGCTGTTTACTCTCTACAAATCCAAGAGAGGAAGGTGATGATGATGATGATGAAGGGGATGAAGTGAGGAAGATGTTCATCATGAGCAGAACATCCATCATCTGTGGGGCTGCGTCTTCACCGGAACATTTTCAGTGATTTTAAACACGTCAGAGTAAACATCTTTATCCTTGAGAGTGATCGTTTATCTTTGATGTAAAATTACAGCTCAGACTTTAAGATGTGTGTCAGCTAGAATATCTCCATACTACAACAGTGGAGGAGGCTACACCGAACAGCGAGTCTAACCCTCAGCTCCTCGCACCTTTTACCCACCTTGATGGTAAAGCTGAGAATCTCGATCCCCATCCTGCCCACGTCAGGAGCTGCTACCTCCCTCACCAGTTTGGCGAACTGGTCCCTGTCCTGATAGATCTGCTCCACAGTCAGAGTTCCTGCAAAAGTGACGCAGCGTTAAAATTTGATTCAGTGATTAACGTTAACGGACATTTTATTTATTAAACACACACATCAGGGTTTGACTCTAACTTTGTTCACATGTTCACAAGTTGAAAAAGGGGAACAATGAAAACTGATCAAATAATGTTTGTCTTATTGATCGACCTTAGTACTATTATTAGAAATCAATTTGAGGTCTTTTGGTCACATGACAGTGAAGCTATTGAAGGAAAACAGCCTTTTCTGAGAACATCAACCGGTAATTTATTGACGGTCCCTTATTCAACACCGACGTTGACAGTGAGGGTGTCGAGTAGATTTAACCGCGCTGCTGTTGTTATTCCCGGTTATGGAGAGAGAGAAGACACCGGTAGATCCTCAGAGAATGTCCGTCAGATATCCAACCTAAAACTAACTTCACCGCTGTATTTACAGGAAAATATATCCAACCTGAAACTAACTTCACCGCCGTATTTACAGGAAAATATATCCAACCTGAAACTAACTTCACCGCCGTATTTACAGGAAAATATATCCAACCTGAAACTAACTTCACCGCCGTATTTACAGGAAAATATATCCAACCTAAAACTAACTTCACCGCCGTATTTACAGGAAAATATATCCAACCTGAAACTAACTTCACCGCCGTATTTACAGGAGAATATATCCAACCTAAAACTAACTTCACCGCCGTATTTACAGGAAAATATATCCAACCTAAAACTAACTTCACCGCCGTATTTACAGGAAAATATATCCAACCTAAAACTAACTTCACCGCCGTATTTACAGGAAAATATATCCAACCTAAAACTAACTTCACCGCTGTATTTACAGGAAAATATATCCAACCTGAAACTAACTTCACCGCCGTATTTACAGGAAAATATATCCAACCTAAAACTAACTTCACCGCCGTATTTACAGGAAAATATATCCAACCTGAAACTAACTTCACCGCCGTATTTACAGGAAAATATATCCAACCTAAAACTAACTTCACCGCTGTATTTACAGGAAAATATATCCAACCTAAAACTAACTTCACCTCCGTATTTACAGGAAAATATATCCAACCTGAAACTAACTTCACCGCCGTATTTACAGGAAAATATATCCAACCTAAAACTAACTTCACCGCCGTATTTACAGGAAAATATATCCAACCTGAAACTAACTTCACCGCCGTATTTACAGGAGAATATATCCAACCTGAAACTAACTTCACCGCCGTATTTACAGGAAAATATATCCAACCTGAAACTAACTTCACCGCAGTATTTACAGGAAAATATATCCAACCTAAAACTAACTTCACCGCCGTATTTACAGGAAAATATATCCAACCTGAAACTAACTTCACCGCCGTATTTACAGGAAAAAACATTGGTTACCTCATCTGATGTTTTTATGCGCACATGTGACCCTAAATACATTTTACAATTCACACACATCTATTTTTAGTTGCAAATGTGAGTGAAACAGTTGCACTGTCGAGCCCTGCACATATATTTATATATAAATATACATATATATATATAGAGAGAGAGAATAGATGTCTGTACCTAGAATGGAGCGCAGATGTCCCTCCAAAGTCTGCAGAACCACAGCTTTGATGTCCATGACTGACTTTCCCAGGAACTGTTCACAAGCTACAGCCAGCAGATCCTGCTCGGTCATGACCTTGACCTGAAACAGACACAGAGGTCAGCTCACCTGCAGACACCTGGAGAGGAGACACATTCAGGACGTCTCTGTACCTGAGCAACACCTGTGACGGTGATGGCGACCCCCTCAGCTGTCTCCACGTCCTCACAGCGAGGCTGCAGAGTCATGATCTCTAAGCTGATCCTGCAGAGACGAAGAAAATCACGACGGTAATAATAAGATCACAGAGAGACAGGGAGAGAGAGAGAGAGAGAGAGAGAGAGAGAGAGAGAGAGAGAGAGAGAGATCAAACAGAAAAACTGAGTCTTTATTGATCTTCAGGTGTTTGATCACTTCACCTCACTGAGTTCAGAACTTTGACACAGATCAGTGAAAAGATAAAAAAAAACACCTCTCTGTACAACCTGCTGTCTGTCTGTCTAATTATGTAAGTTAATCAGGATAAGATCAGAGTGTATCTTTAATCCTCGATCAGCCTGTATCTCTAATGAGACTTCACTGAAAGAACCACAGAGGGAAACGCTGGAAACAGCTGTCACACTTCCCTCCCCATTTAACAGAAACCTCCTGAGAACTTCCTAAAACGATGATCCGTCCGTGAGGGGGGGGCGGTCTGATTTCACCAGGAACTTTTACTGTCAGTGTCAGTGAAGGGTTATGAACTGGGCTGATGGTGTCTGTATCATGTGACCTGAAGGATTAGAGCTTCCCGCCACGCTTACCCTTTTACCTTCTGCAGCTTGTTTGTGTCATAAAATCCAGACGAGTTAAACTTGAACAACTTCATCAGCGGTGAAGTGTGTGAAAGATTACAGATGAACTTTGACCAGCTCTCAGGTCCTCTCTGTCAGGGGTCCTGCTCCGTTACCCTGGGCTCCTCTCATCTCAGGATTTCTCCTCTCACAGCTCTTAGACGATGTGTCACCTCTCAGATATTTCATGTTGATCTACAACTTTTCCACGACTGCGGCTCTGAACCGTAAAACTAAAACAAATACTCAGGAAGTGAGGTCATGGAAAATTTCCCAACCTCAGTTTCTGACCTGAAGCATAAGTGAGGGCAGCGCTGAAGAATAAAAACCATCTTAACAACAACGACGACTGCTGCTGCTGCTAAAGATTAACCTGAGAAATACGTCTCACTTCTGACATGGAAAATATGAGAGAGCTGCGCGGATCTATCAGTCTGACTAACAACTTAAAGACATACAAACATGGATGACCATCATCAACCTTAAACACACTCAGTCAAACAAAAATGTTAAGTACTTCCTCTTTCTTCATGTGTTGTTTGGTCAACAAACCCTCCGTCATTTCATTCAAGAGTGTGAGATAACTGCCTATATTTGATTATATCTATATTTATATAATATTTTGTTGTCACCTTTGGGTGTCTGAGATGAGACACCAAGCCCAGGCCCAGCCTCCAACAGCATACGTCTTGTCGTCAGAGCCACAACATCCACCTGCAGGAGGAGAAATCATTCCAGTCTCAGTTATTTCAACACTTCTCTGTCATATAATCCAAACTGAGGACTGAAGAATCATCTGGTTTAATCAAGATGTGGTTCACTTGGCTTCGGATTCCCGTAGGTCCTGTCATTATAAGTAAAGCAGGTCAATGCATTTTCAGTGAGTCGTACCGGGTCGGTGGCTCTAAATGGAATCAACCACAACACACAGCTGAGTGATTTTAGCATGAATGCTGCTGTTTTCTCCTCTCTCTCTGTCTTTACAGAGGGCCTCCTGGGTTAGTGAGCAGTCGGTCTGTGTACCTCAGATCCCTGACTACGCCCCCCCAGATCCAAACAGGTGCTAAAACTGACAACATTAGTTCAATACTTATACTAATAATCTGTATATTTAAACTTTATGTGTCCAGGAAACGGACTACAAGTGTCACATTTCTAATAGTGATCCAGCCCTGAACCAAGAAGGACAAAATGGGAAGATCGCTCACTGGTCTGAAGTTCGGTTTTTAAGATAAAAGTAGAAAAACAACACCGTCCATTTGATTGTTCCACGAATCAGAACTGAACTGGGAAAACGGGTTTTTCAGTTTTGCTGCCGCTTCAGCATTTCGTTCAATCTTCCATGACAGACTTTAGGAGACGTGGAACAGTGTCTGTGTTTTTAATTCTGTTTCTGGAGGTCATTTTCTTCTTCTTTGTTATTATCTAGTATTGTGACTTGTGCTGCCGACCTCTTGGCCAGGTCACTCTTGTAAATGAGATCTTGATCTCAGCGGGTTTGAGAATAAAATAAATTTGACATTTTATTTGTAAATGTAGGTGTTGGACGGTGTAAGGTCTCCCTGATCTGTGATGATTAGTCGTGTCATCTGTGTGTTTTATCTTGTCCAGAGTCGACACAGCTTTAAGATGACCTGGAGATTATAGAGCCCCTCATACTTCAGTCTGCTGACTTCACACCTGTTCACAGCGCCAAAACTACCACTACCTTAATACTACTGCGCTTAATGGAACAGCCAACTCACCTGACCTGAGCCCCACAGAAAACCTGAGATCGTGGATTTTTAACTTTCATCAACTGTAGGTTAAAATGACCAAAATTAAAACAATAATGTCTCCATATTTTCACTCTAAATGTCGTTTTTACTGTGAAAATAATAATTATTAACTTGTGATTTTCTGCTCCTCTGTCCCATCAGGGTCTGTAGAGTATTAAACTAACTCTGTTTCACTCTGAGGAGTCTTCTTAACTCCAGTTTAAAGATAAATAGGTCATAAATGATTGTTTTGGTGAGAGTTAATGGGTGATGATGGACAAACCCGCCCCTTCACTGTAACACCACCTTAATGATAAAGGCCTAAATGAAGCTCTAAACTGGTCCACATGAGAGGGACATATCAGTAATTTATCGATATCTGTCATTATAGTTGGTGTTATAGTTTGAGATTATGTGAAAAATAAATCAGTTTAAACCTTAAATGTCCTGAACCTGTCACAGCTGCAGTGTGTGTCAGTGATGTTACCGTAACGGAGCAGATAGAAGCCGTTATTTACGGTAACGTCCCTCACACTGAATCACCAACTTCATCATCATATCTCGTTTATAATATCACATATAAAGTTAATTTATGTTTCTACATACTGGTGGAAGCTAACCCTGACTTTAATCACTGCTAACGTGTGTTAGCTCTTAGCTCGGTCAGAAGGGGAACACCTACCGGAGACCACCAGAGCTTCGTTCGGCCCGACGGTTAAACAGCTCCCCATCCTGACTGTCGAGTTAGCGCGGGAACAAGGAGAAGAACAAGAAGGTCCAAACGGTTCGGTAACTGTTTAATAATCCGCTGTTTTTAATGGTGTTACACAGAGATCACGTCCTGCACGGTTACAGCAGTAGCGATGATAATAACCCCCCCGCAGCAGCAGCAGCAGCAGCAACAGACCCCGCCCAGACCCCGCCCCACCTAACGACGCCGCACTTACTGGCAGTGACGTCACTTTGACACCAGCAGAGCCCGTCTGAGAGGTCAGAGGTCAAAAGAGCTTTACCGCCAACTCTCCGGTCTGATGCTAATACTCAGTGGTTGACCTGGATCTGTGTGAGCTTTAGTCAGAGGGTCATTTTAAAACAATTAAACAAACATGAACCGGAAGTTGGATAATTTGATGTAACATCACTAACTTGACATATAGTTGTAGTTGCCGGTTGTGACCACAAGATGGCCGCCTACGGTTGTACATGGTTACCTACTACTGTAGCCATCCCATAGACTGTACATACTATTATATTATATTATATTATATTATATTATATTATATCATATTATATTATATTATATTATATTATATTATATTATATCATATTATATTATATTATATTATATTATATTATATTATATTATATCATATTATATTATATTATATTATATTATATTATATACTGTCTATAAGTCACCCCGAGACAGTCACCTCTCGGTAGGCCCGTCAGTTGCAGCAAGGCCTTATGGGAAGTTGTTGTAACAGTTAAAGCTTGGGTTTGTTGCAGTTGTTGTTTTGTTCATTTACTAGTTTTATGATGTTTTCCAGATTGGGGTGTTTGGTACCATGTCTGTTAGCTGAGAGCCTGATTAGTAAATGAGTACTGCACCGTGAGTTAGAGTTTATTCCAGAGGTTATAAACTGGTTCTTCCCCCTCTAAGATAGTCGCAGAGAGCGTTTAAATTGCGTGACATTAAAGCAGAATGTTCCAATATAAATCAGCACCGGGACAGTTCACTACAGTCTTCAATAGTTGTGCGCAGGATATTCATATCAGCACAGTTTCAGTGTCAACACGACTACTATAGGTACGATGACAAAAATATATTCACGTTTCGAAGAAAATTCAGAAAGTGTCACTTTGATGGGTTTTGTTAATATAATGCAAACATAGGAATCTATCAAGAACCCGTGGATCGATATCTAGCGAGCTGTCTTGAGATGTCAGTTATTTTGTAAAGTTCATTTATGTTAATTTGAAGGGTAAAAAAAATCAATGAAATGCTCCTCTGAGCGAAATGTTAAAGACATCACAGCAGATATTTACAGTACTTGGTTTATCTCCTTCACGCCCTCCCATGGCCGCACCGAGGCACTGAAGCACTATTTATTCTTCAAGTTGCGTTAATATCTCTGATTTCCGGTACAAACTTTCAAAATAAAAAGTCTAAAAGGATTCATTGATTAATAGACTAATAGACAGAAGCACATTTTACCTAGACTCATACCTTTGTAGGACTTAACCTACTAATATACAAGACTCTGACATGTGCAGAGAGCCAAGAGTTCAGTGCTGCTTTAATGTGGATTTGTTTTTGTGAACTAGACCTTTAACTTAGACCCTCCTGAAGAACACAGACAGCATTACTGAAGGCCTGTATATGATGATGATGAGGAGGAACACTGAGAGAAAACTTGACAAACACTGAAGTTGAAGTGTAAATGTTTACTTACGATCAACATGAGTCTGCTCTATCTGAGGATCTCTGACTTTGTAACTGGTGTGGTAAACGCTCTTTTTTGGTCATTAGCAGGGATATAACGCCAGTCCCCCCAGTTTTAGTTGTCCACTATGTTGGTGTTTTGGCACTTTTTACAAATAACAGCGCTTTATCCTCTCTACATTTTGTCTAAGGGTCACCAAAACAGTCGTTTCTTTGGCTTCATCAGCAGCTCCACACGTAAACTGTTGAATAAGTGAAGTGTGGTCTGTTTCTCTTCTGACATCGTTGTTGACAAATGAGATATAACGCTTTGTAGAAACAGGCCTTAATACAGCTACTGACACTACAACCAAAAACTGCTTTTAATGACAATAAGGATTATACAAAACTTTAAGTAATAAAAACATGAATCATACTATAGGAACAGGATTTCTCAGACGTTTGGAGGCTGCTTCTGTTGAACTTTTTCCTCCTTATTTTCTATACATTTCTAAATTACACATTAAACAGTTCACCGTTTTATAAAAGCAATAAATATGTTTGAAGATATAAAACCTGACATGTTCACATTCTAGTGCCAACAGTCACAAAGTCTCCATGAGCGTTCTCTGGTTCAGAGATCTTTGTTCGCTCCTCTGGATCCTCAACGCTGACCCTCACAGAAACTTCCTGCTCTGGGATGTCGTCGTCCGTGGTCACAGAGTTGTCATAGGAACCTTCGTCACAGGTGGATGAGGAAGAGGAGGAGGTGGAGGGCTCCGGTGTGGGTACGGCGTTGAAGGTGATGAAGCCGATGAGGATGACCACCAGAGAGACCAGGTAGAGCGCGGAGAACTGAGGAAAAACAGACTGTTAATGTGTTTTTTCATTCTGTCATGACTGTTAATTTAATAATAAAAATAATAATAATTCATTTTATTTGTACAGCGCTTTTAAAAACACTCAAAGACGCTTTACATGGTACGTAAAATTCAAGTTAATAAGACAAAGACATGAAAACAGTAAGATGAACAAAACAGTTAAATATTAAAAGCAATTTTAAATAAGTGAGTTTTTAAAAGGGATTTAAAAGTTGTGGGGTCAGGGCAGTGTCTGATGGAGGGAGGTAGGGAGTTCCAAAGGGTAGGGGCAGCTGTGGTAAATGCCCGATCCCCCCAAGTTTGGGTCAAGGTTAAAGTTGAATTTCAGTTCTGTGATAATCCCTAAATATCACGAGTTTTTACCAGAAATAAAACTTAATTTTGCTGTTAATTAAACTACAAATATTTATGTATATATCTGAGCTGTAAAACCTGCGACTATAAACACCATCACAGACACTTGTTCACTGGTTCAGATGAAGTCCTGCAATCATTCATGAAAGCTGTTGAGAAGTTTTACAGCTCAGCAGGTCACTGTGACCCACAGGCGGGTCGGTCCAAAAGATTACTGTGAATATGTGATGAACTCTTGTCATCCTCACACTGACTGTAACACACCAACCTGAGCTCACTGCTCACTCTGTGTAAGAAAATAAACTAAAGATACTCTTAATTTTACACTTTCATCCTCCAAAAGGCCAAATTAGTTCTTCCATGTGCTTTAATATTGTCTGGATAATAACTGCACAGAGAAGGAGAAGAGCTCCACGGTGTCACGGGTTCACAGGACCCACAGAAAGACAAACAGAGATCGGTCAGGACTTCACCTTGTACTGGAAGAGGAAGATCCCACAGAAGAGGCTGAAGAGGTCCGCTGTGAGCAGGGACAGGTTGACGGAGGTGGCACTGCTCCGCTTCATCACTATCGGCATACAGCTGTACAGAGTGTACATGCACGACCCGAAGGCAGCGAACAGGAGCCCTGAGAGGAAGGTCAGAAACGCTCATTAGAGGTCGAGTCTTTGCACGGTTCTGCTGCTCAACAGATCTGTGTCAGAAAGTACTGACCCACTTCCCAGCTCCACTGGATGGCAGCAACTTCCCCCCGCTCCAGAACCGCCCTAAGAAAGGAGAACTCAATCATCTCAGACTCACAGGGATGTTGGACGAGTTACAGGGAGACACACTCACATCTGAATGGTGCTGATCACAGTGCCGAAGAGGCCGACCATGCCCAGGAACTCCACCCTGCTCAGGTTCTTCACCGTGTATTCCTGACACACGTTAGACACGGCGTACAGCGTCGCACTGAGCAGGACCAGACCGTCTCCTAACAGGATGTTTGAGGCTGAGGAGGAGAGGAGAGAGACTGATCAGAGCTGTGTCCAAGTATCACAGAGTGACGGTGGTCAGGGGGTCGAGTGTGTCTGAGTTAAAGTTTGGATCCTGTTCTCAGTTTCGTTCTCAAGCCTTTCTGTCACTGACTCCACAAATGTGAAATGATGGTCTTACTGGAGCCCTGGTCTCGTCCTGACAGCAGGTCGGCCCCCACCATGGCGCCCACGCCGAGGAGACAGGTGAAGACGCCCACATAGTGGACTGGCCTGTAGCGTGTCTTCAGAACCAGCCGGGACAGGATCATCAGGACCGGGATCACAAAGCAGTCCAGCAGCTGAGGACAGAGATAAACCAGAAACATCTTCAAAGACAGATATAAATGTCCACATTGAGGACGTCACTGACTTATTAGACATCTTAGAATCTAATCTGTTCATCCCTGAACACACTAAAGTTTAGTAGGTACTTTAAATAAAGTTAAAAAATGTCCCTGAGTGTTGGTCCTCCTAAAGCTGCTGAGAGGAGGTCTTGGAGAACTCGTGCTCTGCTCTGGTCTTTGGTTCGATTCCTCACAGACTCTTCGGTCCTTATTTAACATGACTGACTATAATCTTGAGTTTGTCAGGTTGGACATGGACACACAGCACCAAAAAAAACACTAAAACCACTGGAATATAACCTGTACCAACCTGCACACTGGTCAGAGTGGTGTACTGGTACGCTTTAACCACAGCGTAGTTCGCCTCCACGTCCACCAGGCCCAGGAGGAGGTATTTCCACCATCGCCTCCTCAGGATCTGTAAAATATTTCCATCCCCTACGTTTTAAAGGGGGACACCGCTGAACTTCAGTAATGACATTAACGTGTTTCAACACCAAGTCTGAGGACACTTTGATACTGAATCTGTGCCTCCAACCCTTCAAAACACAGACTGTTCCTTTATTTACAATGACAATGTGTGAATTTCCCAGTTTGGGATCAATAAAGTCTATCTATCTATCTATCTATCTATCTATCTATCTATCTATCTATCTATCTATCTATCTATCTATCCAACTATCTATCTATCTATCTATCATCTATCTATCTATCTATCTATCTATCTATCTATCTATCTATCTATCTATCTATCTATCTATCTATCTATCTATCTATCTATCTATCTATCTATCTATCTATCTATCTATCTATCTATCTATCTATCTATCTATCTATCTATCTA